ATACAACCCATTTTTCGTCCCCAGTGATGATGCGCTTCACAAAAGGGAAATCTATTTTGTATTTTACATTTGAAATAACAAATCAAAAAAGTATTTGCATTTTGTATTTAAATACATTTAAAAAAAACATTTTGCACATCTCTAGTGCCTACAAACACCATACTGATCCACTGATATTTACTACTAAGATTACGAAATCAATCCTAACAAATGTTAATATTTGAATGCACTTAAGTGTAAGTACCTATCTCTGTACAAGAGTTTATGAAAAAACAAAATGTTGTCAACCTTCGACGAAATTATTGCAAAAGCAGTACCTACATGTATTGATGACAATACTTACGTAATAGTTGTAAGTGCCATATTTGGCTACTAATGTGCATCAACGACTAGTATTTATTTAGACCTTCACCTATTTAGCCTTATACATATACTATCTATTAAAATAAAATGCATTTTGCAATTCATTTTTTAATCCATCAAAGTTTATTTCCATAAGAAAGATGAAAGTGATCATTATCGTCATCATAGAAGGTCTTCGGTCCGAAAACTGATACAACTATTAGAGTCAATCTTCGCATTTCTAGAAAACTAGAGCAACCCACATCCCACAAGTTTTTAGGTCTACCTTTACCGCTCTCAACTTTTTTTTTGCTTCTAATATGTCCTTCACATGTGAGAAAGTGTTCTATCAACTTATCCTACACTTTCTAATACCTTCCCATTTGTAACCATTTCTAACCACGGTATTCTTAACATCCTCCTCGTCATCATCATCATCCTAAGGTCTTCAGTCCTAAGACGCATCTCCACTCTTTTCTATCCTGAGGTAATCTTCGCATTTCCCTTAAACTAGAACAACTCACATCCTTAACTATTTGCAAACAGTAATCTAATCTAGATCTACCTCTACCCCTCTAAACTCCTGTTTCTGCCTCTAATTTCTCTCTGACTAAATCTTCATGCCTAACAAGGCGTCCTACCAACCTATCTCCCCTATTTCTAATCGACCTCCATAGAGCCCTCTGTTTTTCCCATTGTATCTAATATCTCTTCCTTTCTAACATCTTCCTATTAGAACACAAATGACACACTTTGCTTCAATTGCAATAGTTAAATAAATGTACTTATAATGTATCGGGTTGTTCGGAAAGTCATTTCGTTTTTTTTGTGGAAATGAAAGACAGTTTTCGTATAATAAACAAATACTTTATTAAATTATATATTGACCGTTCTGGTCCAACACCTTTTGCCATCTTTCTGGTAGTAGCATAATTCCACGCTCATAAAATTTTTGGTCTTTGCTGGCAAAAAACTGATCGAGGAGGTTTTTGACCTCCTCATTTGAGGTGAAGGTTTTACCGTCTAAAAAATTTTGGAGTGACCGGAACAAATAATAATCCGATGGTGCCAGGTCTGGAGAATATGGTGGGTGTAGCATTGTATCCCATTCAAGCTGTAAAAGCTTTTGGCGAGTGACCAAACTTGTGTGAGGTCTCGCGTTGTCTTGGTGAAACACTACACCTTTCCTGTTGATTAGTTCTGACCTTTTCTGTTGAAGTGCATCATTCAGTTTGTCCAGCTGATGACAGTAGACTTCCGAATTAATCGTTGTGTTATCCGGTAAAAGCTAAAAAAAAACGATTCCTTTAAAATCCCACCAAACAGACAGCATCACCTTTTTTTGGTGAATATCGGCTTTGGAAATGGTTTGAGCCGGTTCATCTTTTTTGCTCCATGACCTCTTGCGTTTGACGTTGTTGTATACAACCCATTTTTCGTCCCCAGTGATGATGCGCTTCAAAAACGGATCATTTTCGTGACGTTTGAGAAGCGAATCGCAGACGTCAATGCGGCGACACAGATTTCTCTCTGTGAGAACATGGGGAACCCATACATCGAGCTTCGAGGATAATCCCAGGCCTTTCAAGTGGTCATAAACTGTTGAATTTGATAAATTTAACCTCAATCCGATCTCACGTGTTGTTATTCGCCGGTTCACATCAACTAATGCCTTTATCGCGTCTTTATCAGCTTCAACCGGCCTTCCCGAACGTGGTGCATCTTCGACATCAAAATTGCCGGATCGAAATTTAGCGAACCAGTTCTGGCACTGGCGTACTGTCAACACACCTTCTCCATACACATCAGTCAATTTCTTTCTGGCTTGAACAGCATTTTTACCCTTTCTGTAGTAAAACAGTAAGATATGTCGAAAATGCAGCTTATCGCTCTCCATATTTAAAAGGGCACCAACCAAAAACTACTGCGTAGAATTAATTGAAATTTTCCACACACAAGCCTTGCTATATGAGCTCTCAAAGCATATAAAAATTATACGGCTTAAATGTGAAGTTGGGTGCAAAAGAATACAATTAAATCCTCTGTCGGGAAAAAACGAAATGACTTTCCGAACAACCCTATATAAAAACTGTATTGTTTTAGTGCAATTGTAGCATAATTCTAATGGATTGGGAAAAAGGTGCGAGAGGTCCACAATATCCTGTAGCAGCAGCTAATACCGAACTGGTTGGAAGACAGTTAGGACTTCTATTACTGAAAATGGTAAATTTGGGCCTCAAACCCAAAGATATACACCTTATTGGATTTTCCTTAGGAGCACATGTCGCAGGTTGTGCTTCAGAAACGCTTAAAAAATGGGGACATATGATTGGCAGAATAACTGGTAGGTAAGAATGTGTCAGTGACATCTAAAGTACAACTTACAAATTCTTAACTAAGTACTGTACATCGGGAACAAAGGGCTCCTTACGGAAGAACAGACATACTTGTCACTTACTCCTGACGCTAAAAATGATATTATGCAGGGTGTTTATGCAGGAGGTGATAGGGCACTATAAAGCAAGAAAATTAAGTTAATATTTAGTAATCTGAAACTCCACCGTTTTCGAGATAAACGTATTTGAAAGGGGCAGTCCGGCCCTAGCAGGGCCACGCAGCGAAATACGGCATTGCAACGTCGCATTCTATTAACTGCAGCATCCGTGTTGCGCACGATGTTTTGTATTCTTAATACCATGTCGAGATGTTTAAATAGTACTGCATACCATCAGCGATGAACAAAGTAATTAGTTAATTTATTGCTATTGCAAAAGGCGTCTAAATACTATTATATCTAATAGCGTAGCAGTAAACTGTTGATATTTATTTTACTGGTTGTTCCGCAACCGTCACTGTTTACATTTTTTATCGATTTAGTTGCTTAAACTTCGGATTGCAACTTCGTGTGGTTTTTTTACAATTTTTTTTGTTCCTTTACCACCCTGCTTTACTCATTATGCAATTCCCTATTGCATTTAGTTAACACCATCCAGAACTTGCAACTTATTTCAAAAACACCCTATATACATACGTGCTTGAGTCACCTGTCGTTAATCAACTACCTTTCATCGGACGGTAAATGCCTACATACACAGTCATATAATGTTTCTGATGATTTCCGGAAAGCTTCTTATCAGTTCCTTTTATCGTGCAGTATATGTATGAGATCGACGATGATTTGCCGTTCTGCGTTGTCGACTATTAAAATGTACAGCTGTATCGATCACCGCCTCAGGCACACATTCGTAGCAATACATTTGACGAAAATAAGTATAATCCTTCTGTGTTTAAGATTATTTACTAGTCTCTAGGGCATTAGGATATATAGGATTTTATTACGTTTATATCGTATTTTCTAGCGATATTGCAAATGTGATGTTGACATTAATTTTTGTAGTCGATTTTAGTATGTCGATGACATAAAACAAACCTCTCAATAATTTGATAGTAAGTTGTAACACTTATATTCTAATAATTATTTGTTCTTTTTAAGGATTGGACGCCGCCAGTCCGCTTTTCAGGCATAACCATTTCAAAGAGAAAAGCAAAAAATTAGACAAGGGAGATGCTGAATATGTTGACGTTATACATACCGACGCAAGTCCGGTAATTTTAGTAAAAAAATGTTTATTTTAAACCAAAAAGATATACTTGTTCCTAAAATGGTTCAGCAGCTTGATTTGATATTCTACAAGCAACTGATGTATTAATGCATTTCAGTTTTTCATTGACGGGTTCGGATTATTGGAACCAATAGGTCATGTAGATTTTTTCCCGAATGGAGGTTTTGAACAACCCGGTTGTGTTGACGGAAGGGCTTCAATCGTTTTAACAACAATAGGTACAAATCATTTTTAAACCAAAAATTTAGCAAAGTAAAACACTTATAGCTCCATATTTTTTTGATATTGGGTCAAACTAATCGTTTTTAATGATCAACTGTTTCAATGTTTTTTTCCGATTGGGATTTTTCGGGTTTCCAAAATAATAACGAGCTTACAAAAATATAAACGATTACAATAACATTATTCCGAAATTATTGTTTTAGAAAGAACATTAACAGTGGAACTTGCCTGTAGCCACTTGAGAGCATGGAAATTGTTCTTAGAAAGTATACAAAGGGAAGCCGAAGGGGGCGGCTGCGAGTTTATAGCATACAGATGTCGAAATGGAGGATTTAAGAGCTTCCAAAGGGGACAATGTTTTCCTCAAATAGAAAAGTCATCTAGTCGTCTAGCATTGGATCCTTCTTACAGAACTGACGTAGGGAAATTCGGGGCAAATTCGTATGGAAAAGGGATAATGTATCTGGTAACAAGAGGCTCGTCTCCGTATTGCGGTAAGTAAACAGGCTAAAAAAAAGCTCTCAAAGTCAATCGACTTTCTATAAGCTACTGTATCAATAAAATGTTTAACAAAAGGAAAAGAATTATTAATAATTAAAAAATACATCGAAAATTTGTTTCCAACATGTCATAGTAGTACGTTTTCATTTTGCAATTTCCTCACTTTTTCGAGAACACGACTGTAGACAATTGATAACAATGACCGTTGTTAACCATATGAAATACTACAATCAATATGAATGCTATGACACTAAAACACTAAAAGAGGGCCGATAAATTTAAATCTTTTGGGTCCAATATCCGGAGGATCCGGCACTTTATTTAGAATCCGGATGGACACCAGATAATGGTACGCGGCGATGCCGGATAATAAAATTGATAATTATGATTGTACTGAAGTGAGTTGTTTGTCGTAAATTTTATTATTTACTGATTACTATTGGGATCCGTCAAATGGGAGGAGCCTAAAAACATGGCGCCGATTAGGGAAAATTTATCGTAGTTCCTATAGTGTACCGTGCAATTTCCAAGTTTTTAAATTACGATAAAATGATAAGTATTGATACAATATGTGATTGGGCTGACACAAAGCCTCGGAAAGGAAATTTCGTTGAAAGTGAGCGTGTTTTTAATGCCAATCACATTATAAAATTCGGAAATAACAAATCCGGAAGCTAGCCTTCAAATTCCGTCAAGTTTACTGTCTACTTTTTACAAACTTCGGATTTAAAAAGTGATTCACGTTATATAATTGGTGAGGTGATTCTGGGTGATTTAAGCAATATCATATCAATGACTTGCACGTGCAAAGCCGATTTAAGAGAACGTTGCAAACACATTATTGCAACTTTGTTGTATTGCAGCAGGTAGGTTCTTAACCTCAAAATACTTATATCGTATCATTAGAATTGTATTAAATCAATTACACAGGAATAAATAATTTCTCACTTTATAATTTTAGTATGACTCTAGTTTTAAATATTAAGGTTATGGCTGATGGTAAATACTTGCTGAAATATAATCATGTGCATTAAAATGACGTGAACAAATTTTTATTCCGAAATTCACTTCTTTGATACCTACTGCTTTCATCCAAGCTTCTATTAGTTTACTTTTTTCTCTAATTTTCCGAATATATTTTTTACATATATAAAACGGTTAGTTTTTATTAGTAAGTAGTTAATGTAGGTGAAGAGTGAAGATCTATGTCTAAAGTGCTATTGCAGCTTTTCACTGAACATATTAACTTTTTATTTGATTTAACTTTAGAAGAAAACTTCGTCGACTCCATCAAAAAAATTTTTACTTTTTTAACGTGTTTTATTATTTTAATAAACAATTTTACTATTTGCGTGCACAGTTCCTATGTAAATTTTTCCCTCATTCGAGTTATAAATTTTGCCACCAGATGGTGTATGCCCATTTGACGGATCCCAATAAGTACTAAATTATTCGTTATTATAGCCGAACCGTTACAATTCCTATCGCTTCTTAATATATCAGGCTTCCCAAAACCACTCGGTTATCCGGTATCAGGTAAAATCACTATCCGGTGCATTTTTAAATCAAATTCCAGTTATCCAGGCTACATTATCATGGTATATATAAAAATATCCTGACGCAAGTCTGCTCACACTGGAAAACTGCAATTTTGCACGATTAGCATTTAAGTTTTCTTTATTTTTCTTTGAATGTAAATCTTTAGATTTGTTACCAACACGTCTTACCATTCGGGTGTGCGAACCTACATCCTTTTTACTTTGTAACATTTAACGCTTATATCGAGTATTAATGTACAAGTAAATAAAACGTGAACTCGCTAACAAATTTGGTAACCTTTCTCAGTCCCCACAACGTTTTTTTAGAAATAAATAAATTTTTAAAAACAACCTTCGGAGGACTTAAAACAAAACGTTCCTAAGCAATTTGAAATAGCTTTAAAGCCTATTGAATTAGAAATTACAAAATACTTTTACAAAGTAATTCGTTTGCCAGCACCTATGTACATGTTCACTAGAATGCTTCGAAACCCTGAAAAGACTGAAACCAAATTTTCACGTACAAGTACTTATGCACTAAACTCTGCCCGCTACTGAGCCACTTTAATGTAATTGTTCTTTAAAATGTACTTCTTGTAGTTTCTGTTAATTAGTTCATACATTTATACCACATCATCATCATCATAAGGTCGTCAGTCCTAAGACTGGTTGGACACGTACCTCTACTCTTTCCTATCCTGAGCTAAACTTTGCATTTCCCTAAAACTACTATAGAACAGCCCACATCCTTAACTATTTGCGAACAGTAATCTAATCTAGGTCTACCTCTACCCCTCCTAACTTAATATTATATATTGTTTATCTATTAGGTTCCCAACTTCAAGCTTCTCTCAAATTATCGCAAAAAACTACAGCCGCTAAAGGTACTCTCTATATGGTCATCGAATACCTAAACTACACGGTATCGTTCTTGATAAATTGTCAGTAAGTTATTACTTGAAACTGAAAAAAAAATGAATATTGCGTACAATGCCTTTTTTATAATAGGTTATACGACTTCGTGACAAGTTCGAAAGAAATAAACGGATTGGCAGCAGCTACATATCAAACACTTACGGAAGATGTTCAAGAAGTAACTGCGACATTAGTTTACAACGGTGTTGAGTATATTAATGCCCAAAACTTAACAATATTCTCGGATTTATTTGTTGATAGAGTGATCCTAAGGGATATTTACGGGAACAGGTAAGTCCTTAACATTCGATATCTAAATTGCGGAACGAAACCTTTATGAATGGTTATTTAATGTGACATTTTCATAGTTTCTGGAGTTTTAAACATACCGACTAAAGTTATACCTTACTTTTTATATTTTTAATAAAAATAATTTTCAAAAAGTCACTACTTAAGTATTCCACTTCAGATTTTCTGGGATTTGAGTCTAAACTTATCAATTAATTTTTATTTTTTAATATTCATAATTTTTCAACATCATCAGAAGGTTGTTAGTCCTAAGACTGGTTGGACACGCACCTCCACTTTTTCCTATCCTAAGCTAATGTTCGCATTTCCCTAAAACTTTAACATCCTTAACAGTAATCTAATCTAGGTCTACCTCGTTCTACTCTTCTTGACACCTATTGCTACTTTTAATATGTCTCAAACTAGTCCTTCATGCCTGAAAAGGTGACCTACCAACCTCTCTGGCCTACTTCTCTTTGGGTTCCAAAACATTGAAGAATGTAATCTAACCTAACCTAACATAATCAGAAAAGAGCTTCATTTCTTGTTTTTAATAAGTTCTTCTACTTGAAGTAAACCAAAAATGTCTTTGTACTTCACAGTTACAGTTTGATTCACTAATTCAATTAATAATTTTAGTTGGAACTATTGTGGTCCCGAATTTCATTTAAAGGATAAACACAATGTACCAGTAGTTCTGATATTAAAGAAAAAGGATTGTGATTAACAAAAGAGTTCTAGTAAAATTATCAAATATTCTCATTAAGCAACTGAGGTAGAAGTAGTAGAAAAACGCTGCAGATGTTGCGTATAATTTATGTAAGAGAGAATGAGATGTCATCGTCACGAAAAACGGTACAGGGACAAAACAAAAGCTAGTTCGACAAACACGTATTAGACAATAATTGATCAAAAATTCTTACTTTTATGTTTATGTACCAAGATTTTGTACAAAAAGTTATTAATTTGTGCTTAATAAATTTTAATAATCTATCCTCTTTTATATTACTTAAAAACTAATTTTTATATGTTATACTATTGAAACACCCACTGTTATCATCCATAAAAATTAGATAATTATCGTCTTAGAAAAAATAATTAAAATAGTTTTTATAAAATTGATAGATTAAGTCCAAAAATTTGCCCGCATTTGACCTTTTTTTGGTCACAGAACTCTAAACAATGAACAGTTTTCTACAACATTTTTCAATACATAGTCAACTGCTTGCGAATAAAGACCTATTAAAAGGGTTCATTATAGGAGGTGAAACCTTTTAAAGTTTCGTTGGGTTCCTTGAATGTACGTCAAAATTTTTCAAACTACGACACTGGTCTATAGGATAATTTTAAAGGTGACCCAACTTTTTTACATCTCCATATCAATTTAAATTTAATACCCATAAGACGTGTTTAACACATTTCATACATTACATTGTTACTTTTATTGTATTAAAGTTTATAAAAATGGGTTCTTTCAATATTTTAGATAAATTAGGCAGCGGAACATTTGGGTAAGAAAAAAATATTGTTTTGTACTGTTTCACTTTTTCATTTTTCATCCTTATACCGACAATTTTGTTTGAAACAGAACAGTATTTTTATGTGAAAGAAAACACAACAAGGTGAAAATAGTTCTCAAAGAAATTAAAGTTGATATACACAGCAATCAGCTTCTCTCAGCAAAAAATGAAGTGTCCATTCTGAAATCCCTAAATCACCCCAATATCGTCCAATATTACGATAGTTACATCTCTAATGGAATATTTTATATAGTTATGGAGTATGCAAGTAAAGGAACCCTGCATGAATTATTAAACAATACAAGACCTAATTATTTACCACAGTCAGTAAGTGTCATCATTTTTTTTTTATTAAATTCGTATATGTATGCATTTAACCCATCAAGGTAAGTAATATTCCTAATTTTTTAAAAACAATCAAATGTATAACTCTAGATTTGGATTTGGGATCATGCAAGTAACGATCTTGATTTAGAAGAATTTATCTTGTCATGAGTACTTAATCATCATACATTTGCATCGTCGGTAGGTCGGTACCTAAACTCATCCTGCCTTTAATAAAATTGTATTTTACGTAGAGAACTAGGTAATTTTAGTTTAACTAGTTTATATTATTATTTATCAAAACTTTAATTTACGCCGCTAACATCCTACACAATAGTTGCAATAATTGAAAAAGACTTACCCAATGCCAAACATCATCCAGGACGCCATGTTGGGTACAGAAAGGTACTAACAAACAGTAGTACAATAACAGTCAATTTAAAATTTATGTGAAACCACACGTTTCCACGTTTAATTTGCCCGGAATGTTTCTAATAATTTAAGTAAACGATTCACTTAAGTACCTATATGTATGAAGCAAAAATCTCCTATTAAAAACCACACTTTCAGCTTTACCCACTCGTCTATCAGAACATGAACTACGAGATTCGATTAAGAAAAGAAGCAGCAGATTTTTACGTCAAATAAATTGATAAACAACTTCAATACGATACATAATTTCATTTTATTCCGAATACCTTCTGCCATCTTACCGAAATCTTACGAACTAACATTGTCATTTCTGCGCATGTCATTAGTGTCATTTCTAGCCATCTTTAAAACCCCGCGAAAATTACAAAAGGAAATATAAGCAGCCAAAGAATTCAAACTGAAAAGTAATAGAAAAGATTACAGTTAGTTGTAAATCGGACATTAACCGTATAATTATTTAATAACACTTAACACTTAAATTAATGAAATAACATTCATACGTGGATTAGTCCTACTAAATATAACTTTCTTATTTCATTTTTAACGTACCTGTATTTTCAATAGCTGCGTGTTTTAGACCATTATGTGCATCTTTTGTCAAATCTTAAACGCCTTAAATCATATCCACGAGAAGAACATTATTCACAGAGATTTAAAGGCTGAAAATATTTTTATGACTGGATTAAAAGGGGACGTTGTAAAAATTGGCGATTTTGGAATTTCAAAAACACTTTTCAAGTACTAAAAACTCCTTAAAGACATAATCGTATTAAAAGCTACAATTTACTCTGATTTTAGTGATGGGAAAGCACACACGGTAATAGGGACTACTAATTATTTGGCTCCTGAAATGTGTGACGGTCACCCTTATGATATAAAGTCTGATGTTTGGGCATTGGGGTGTTTACTGTATGAATTATGCGCACTAGAAAAAATGTTTGATGGAAGCGTAAGTTTTTCTAATTATTTATTAACCTTTTTTAAATTTTTACAAACAACAACAAAGTTAAGCGTCAGTCTGTACTGACCAAAAGTAGAAAAGAATAATTTCAAGTTATTTTTAGAACTTATAATGTGTTCAATCAAAAACTTAGGTAGACAAAGAATAAAAATCCTATTAAAAAGACAAAATAGGGTGCTTTTTGATTTAAAAGTAATATTTTACTTCAGATTTCAAATGTGGTATTAGCTGTTGCTTCTGGACACAGAAAACAAATAAATATTAATCTCTACGAAGACGGTTTACAAATTCAAACTATGATCGATGCAATGTTACAAAGGAATCCAACTGATCGTCCTGACACTTTAACATTAATGAAATATCCGGTAGTATTCACCACATATTACACCATAGGTACTTATTTAGGATGTATTCAACCATAACTATTTTAATTTTTGTACTACCTTTTTTTTAATATAGTCTCACTTATACACTCTCTTTGCTCATTAATAAGTAAATGGTTACTTTTAACAAAAAGAGACCATTTCTGTACTCGCAAACAATTAATTATGATGTTCGAAAAGGATTATTAAAAGTTATGAACAACACTATAGACGAGTGCGAAACGTCAACACCTGATACACAAAGGCTAGTTAGGACATGTTAAGAATAGAAACTGGATTAAAAAGAGGTAAATGAAGATCAGTCTTCACAATCAAATCAAAATCTGATTTAATATAGATTTATTAAAAATAAATAAATTGAATTAACATCTTTTATCAACATCATATTTGTACGGAACCGCTAAAATCACATATACAACTGCTGAAAAAAGAATTTCAAAAATACTGAAAGTAAACTGGTATTAATCACATAAATAAAATAAAAAAACCTTTGTGATTTATCGCTTCAACCTTTTCTTTATTTGTTATATCGATCTTAATAGTGTAGTATACAATTATTCTTATCAACTTAATACAATTAGCCACTTGATGATAATGAATCAATTTGTTGTCATTTATAATTAATGACAATTTAAAATAAAAAACAAAAAGGTTGTTCGAAGAGTGAGCTAATTGCTTTATCTTGCACAAATTATTATTACCTTAAGTCTGATCCATTTGCATGTCTTCAGTGTAATCACCTGAAAACCATAAATAATTACTTACATGGCACTTATTTATTACAATATTTAATGAAGACTTTCTTCCCAAATAAACACTTATTAGAACATACCATTTGGAGCAGTTCCATTCTGTTCTGTCTGGTCTGGAATTTGCCCTGCTTGTAACAATTTTTGCAATTTCTCAACTTCATGAAGTGTATTTGCTTTTGATATAGCTTCTCGGATCTTTTTAATCTCTTGCTCAGATAATCCTAAGAATAATAACAATCAATAAATTTAAAGCATTCTAAAGCAATTTATGTTCTTCTAAATAGCACTTACTTTGATTGGAACTTGGAATATTAGCACCAGGTACAAAAGTTTTGGATTTCTTGCTGTATTCTTTCTGTAACTCTTTACCTTTTTTACTTTTAAAGAGAGCTTTTGCTTCTTCTCTTTCTTTCATTTTAATCTTACGAAAATCTAAAAGCTTCAATTGTGGGAACTTATAAGCGACATATAGTCTATAATGAGGCTTTGCAGTAACTGGATTGTGTAATAAACTCAAACATGTAAGTTTCTCTAAAGATATTAATGGATCTAAATCTCCAAGCTCCTCTATGTGGTTGCCTGTTAAAATTATACTCTCTATATTTGGAACATACTCCTCCAAGTGTTCAGCAATACGTCTGCATGCAAAAAGAATATTGTACAAAGTGTTACTTCTATGCAGTTCTATAATCATCAGTGAAAACAACTTACACTATTCGGTTATTGTTTAGAAGTAAGCATTTTAATCTCTTTAAATAAGGGAAGCCATCCAACTTTCGAATATCATTATCAGAGAAATCTATTGTATCAAACTGATCTCCTGTGGCCCCTAAATTTTCAATTTCGGGAATTTTATAACCTACAAAATATCGTGTCGTTTACCAAGAAAAACTCAGAATTTATTGCTCACCTCTCAAATCTAATTCTCTATCTTTGACAGGATTTATGTACTGCATCGAGTTCTGAATTATTTCTGCAGTTAATTTCACCATGATTAGGTATTTAATAAAGTAATTAAAATTTGAAGAATACGAATATATTTTTAAAATTTTTAAGGTTAGGTAGTTAGGCAGTGTTTTTAAAAAGGAATGGCGTCCTATGATGGCGTCATCGTTCATGTAGCATTTCCACACAAGAGGTCGCGCAGTGCATCAATTTCAACACTATTTCTAAATTAATAATGTTTTTGTAAATAGTAATTATTGTAAATTACACATATAATTATTTTAAAAATAAATGCATAAAAGTGTTCGTTTAATAAATGGGTCTTATCTTTACTCAATTATGAAAGTGTATTATCAGGCGCGAACAATATTTTCTTTTAAAATTAGTACACAAGTGTAATGAAAATTAATGGAAATGTGGATTTCCAAATACCTATCATGGACTAGAGGTAAGAAAATGTTTTTCATTTTATGTACAGAAATGCATAGATAATTACTAAAACCCAAGGGAGATCAAAACTCACATACTATAAGTAGAAAAGATAAACAGTGTTTTACAAAATAAAAAAAGAGAAAAATCGAACAATGTTACACTATATGTAAAAAAAAAATACGGTTATGTATTATTAAGTCTGAATTGAACTGAATATAGTTTCCTAAAAATAGAAAAGCTTTTTTTGGTTACTTTATATTTCATTCTTTCCGTTAAAAGCTTTACATTTAGGTATTTGCAGTAAGTAATTGGGAAAAATCATTGACCCAGGGTCCCCAAAATTTAGTCATCCTTATTATAAATGCTTAAAGTGTGGGAAGGATAGTATTTTAAAATGCAACATAAAGGACAATTTACACGTATTTACTTAAAATCCAATTCAAGCAGATAATTTAAATAAATTTGTGTATGCGAAATGGCTAACATGAATTTACAACGCTAAGTATTTACGTTTGATGAATATCTTAATTTTAAAGTATTTTGCTTTCATAAAGATGTTCAGTGAAATACGCATATACAAATATGGAAGGAGGAATATAAAGGTTATCACGAATTATCCTTAAGATAAACCCAAGTGCAGTGGATTTCCCCATAATTTTTTAAAAATTAACCAATCAAGGTTAGAGCCTTCGAGAGAAACGTGTTGCACTCTTTTTGTTTCGTGCAGAATCCTGTTTCCTCTTTTTTGTAATACAGAAAGATAACATGGCATCTGTTCTTAGCGGTAGTTGATTGGCAGGGTATCCTTATTTTATAGTAGGGAATACCCGCTACGTCAACGTCCAGAGACGGACCTTATTGCATTTGGATGAAAATTCGTAATTATACTTTGATGCCTTCCTTGGCGCCAAATTTTTAATGTATAATAGCCGACACTGAAAATGTTAATGGCCGACAACGGCAACAATATCGCAACAATTAAAAAATTATAATGGCCGACACTGAAAATGTTAATGGCCGACAACGGCAACAATATCGCAACAATTAAAAAATTATAATGGCCGACACTGAAAATGTTAATGGCCGACAACGGCAACAATATCGCAACAATTAAAAAATTATAATGGCCGACACTGAAAATTTTAATGGCCGACAACGGCAACAATACCGCAACATAGAAGGAATAAAAATGGCTGATCAGTAACAGTTTAGAAATGTAAATTTTGCCTATCCCATGTAATTATTATATTTTTTACTGCTAAAAAACTTGGTATACAAAACAACTTCTTGTCTTACTAAGCAAAAGAAGACAAGAAGTTGTTTTAATCCTAACCGTTATTCTTTTTTTTAATCCTAAAAGTGAAAACACTTTCCCCTTGTACTTGTGCTTAGGTTTAAAATAAGTGTTTATGAAAATTTTACGTCTAATATTTCTGTTCTATCACCTCTAAATCGAAAATAGATAGAGACACATTGTAATTAATTCACTTTTACCTTATTTTTTTTAGTAAAAGTGGCATATTAACTACATACTAAATGACCCTAGTTTATGTACATAAAACTGTCTAATTTTATAATGCCTGGTTAACCTTTACCTTTAAAGTATGGATCATGCAAAGTCATCTCGTGAAAAATATGTAATTTTACGACTGTTTTACGAACGGGATTATTATTCTGAAACGAAATTATTATATACGACGCGCAATTGTAACAAAAGGATGTTTATTTTTCGCCTTTATTAACAATATCGAGATATATGTGACGCCCTTAACTTACACCTAAATGAAGGATTATCGACTTTTTGATCGGAAAAATACTTTATTTATTACTTTTAAAAAACATAAACCGTTAATGGTTTTATAAGAATCTTAGATAAATGTAATGGATGTAATTAATAATAAATTATATCTCAATTAATATTTAAAATGTTAAAATGAGTATTGAGCACGTTGTCCATTGGAAATTTTCCAAAAATTTAAAAAGTAATACATCCACTCTTTTAAATCCCTTTGTTTTATGAAAATTGTGATTTGTTCTTATTAGGTATTAATATTGAGTTCGGTTCTGTGCTGGTCAGAACCGGCTCATTATAACGACCTACTTGATTTTCCAGCTAGTATTCTTTAAATTTCAACCTTCGCTTGAATTCGCATTCATTCATATAAAAACGCATGAAATTCTAGTTCACTGCCCTTATACGCCTTTTCATCCACTACTACGCGCATGTATGGTCAAAGGCGTAATAACTGAACAGTTTTTTAACACATGAATGAATATTCTTTCGGGGTAATGCCAAATTGTTTCAGTGCCTGTTTTATGAAATGTCCGGGGGTTTCCAAAAATTACAGTAGAAGTAAAAATGAGCAAAACGAGACCAAGACCAAGGCTGAATAAGACTCTTGGTCAAATATTTTTAGTCTTAGTCTTGATTTTGGTCTTGCGTATTAAATCTTGGTCTTGGTTATTTAATCTGATACTTAGGTTGTTTTAATAATTCTTCTAAACACAATTTTTTCTACTTAATGACAAAATAATTGTCTTATATGCTGTTATTTTCTGTCATACTTGGGAGCTTGTCATAACTTTTAATGAAAATAGTGCCGATAGTTGTGAGAGTTTTGAAAACTCGAGGGCTTACGTTTCCTCCAATGCATAAATAGTACAAGGTACTTGAAAGAAGTAAAAAAAATCGAATGAAAACAGTTTGTCTCTACATTTTAACCATGTATTATCCAGACATAGGAACAATGAACACTTACTCCAAGGACATTCTTATAGATAACCTTTTCCAAACAGTGTTAAAGTATTTTTTTAAATATACAGTGTAAACTCTTTATAGCGTCACTCGATTTAACGGCAAACTCCTTAAAACGTCGAAATTGCTTGACTTTGGTTGGTTTACATTGTTTTCTATACAATATTACACTCTATGTAGCGTCACGCTCACTCTATTTAACGACAACAATGCGGCATTATAAATCATTGAGCAGTACTTTCTAAGTTGCCGAAATAGATAAGAACTGCAGCTGTGTACGTTGTTGAAGAAGACGATCCTGTCCCTCCACCAAGCATCAAACAAGCACTTGATGCAGCGAAACTATTAAAAAAATACTTTTTATATAATCAAATTGATCCAGCAGTATCTCAAGATATGAGTAAGATACGTAACAAAATACAATTAAAATATTGGAGCAGCAAAAAACATCAGACGAAGATAACAGGCTATACGCAATGTATGAATAATAATGTTCGTGTGCAAAATGTGTACTATATTGGTAAATGCATTTTATTATATAATAGTAAAATAATATCTTTTATTTCTCTCCATTTAACGACCACTCTTTATAACGTCGAAAAATGTTCAGTCCCTTAAGTGTCGTTATATAGAGTTTACACTGTAGTTTGTTTCTACATTTTAACCATGTATTATACAGACATAGGAAAAAAGAACACTTACTCTAAGGACATTCTTATAGATAACTTTTTCCAAACAGTGGTAAAGTTTTTTTTTTTTATATATTTATTGTTAAAATCTAGTAAAGCAAACTGAAAATTTCAAATACAAAAAGTGTTTTGTTCGAAGAAAAGAATATATTAAGGTTGCTTCAAGTGGTTTAACTCGTAAATCCACCATATATAGATAATAATTTTTCATTTAATCCTGAGTATTTGGTATTAGTCTCACATATTCGATCTTGATTTTAGTCTTGGTCTTGTTCGTCTGATCTTGGTTTTGGTCTTGCTCCTTACTAAGTAGAAGGTTGGGGTATATAAATGGTTTCAATCCTCGGCAATAACCGTTATTATTACCCTTATTTTTCAGTTTTTCCAATAAAATAAGTTGCAATTCTAGGTGGATGCTTTATAACTAAAATGCCTTTAATTGTATCCGCAGACAACTGCGGGAATTTCCGTACATCTTCGGTCACTTGTTACAGGTAATGTTGCATTGGAGTATCTGAGTATGTAGGAACATGTAATTATCCTTATTTAGATTTTTTCATTTCAAATGTCAATGTCAAGTGCTTTAAGGAGGTAGATAATTGATTGTGGTGATTACAGGAAAATGAAAAATAAAAGCACTCGAAGTCGTTATGACTTTTTTTTTAAGTCACCGACGCTCACTCGGTTATTGTTGCAATTTGGCGTCGCGTTACACTCAGAATGGTATGCCCTACGTCCGAGTTTGCCTTGAGCTTTGTAAAATGTCACATTTAACAAAAGGTCGAATAAGGTAACTGACCAATGGTAACACATAATAATGATTGTTACTATGCGTAATGGAAAAACGACATCATTAAGGTTATTTATATTCACCGACGAGGAAGTGAATATTACAATGAACTTTAATACGTTTTTCAACAAGTCGATGATTCCACATTTGGAAAAATTACATTTCTCTTTTTCAGTTCTTGATTGCAACTTATTGCAAATCATTGTGCCAGCAATCGTCAATTATAGGCAAACATTGCCTAAACCTATTCTGTATCCCTGTACGAATTTAAAATAAAAAATAAATATGTACGGGTGCGAAACATGGACAGTGGGCGCGGCGGATACCGTGGATTATGGTTAGAAATGATGAGGTATTAGAAATAATAGGAGAACAGAGGACTCTATGGAAGTTAATAAGAAATAGGCGAGATAGATTGGTAGGACACCTTCTCAGGCATGAATGTCTAGTCAGAAACATATTAGAGGCAGAAATGGAAGTTAG